GAAAGGCGGGACATTGGAGATGGTGACCCTGGTCGCCGGTGTTGATAGAGGGGACACCGGCACCAAAGTCTCCAACACCCAAATCCCGCTCTCCACGAGCTCACTCACTAAACGTTCCTCTCTCAGAAACACCACTACGGCCTTATTCATCCTCGAGGCGGAGGAGATCTGATCAAAGCCAACTTTTTCTCCCACCACCAGAAGCACGTCTTCAACTCCCGCTTCTGCCGGTGGGACACATCTAAAGCCATTTGCGCGGGAGAGAGACGGCGTTTCAGCCGCGAGGCGAGGAGCCATGACTCCCCCCTCACTCGCCGCTCTCAGCGGCTAACGATTAACGGTGCTGAACAGTCAGAAATTAGGAAAATAACCCCGAAAATACAGGGTAGAAACAGGGAAAAAGCACACCCTGACTTCAGCACAGCACCTCTCACAGACGCACCCTCACCCACCACCTCCCAGCATGCACCAGAGAGAGAGAGAGAGAGAGAGAGAGAGAGAGAGAAGAAGAAAGAGAAGAAGAAAGAGAGAAAGAAAAAAGAGGAGAGAGAGAAAAAAGAGAAAGAGAAAAAGAGAAACAAAGGAAAAAGACAGGAGAGAGAAAAGAATTAGAGAGAAAGAGAAAGAAAAGAATTAGAGAGAAAGAGAAAGAAAAGAGAAGAAAGGAAGAAAAAGAAAGAGTGAGCGAGCGAGAGAGAGAGAGAGAGTTTTATAAGCAGTTCTGCAGAAACACTGAGCATAAGTACACAGCAGCCTCAGACAGTGTGAAGGTGTCACTGTGCTGAGTAAACACTGCGGCTCTGTGTGAAGAACATCTCTATCCTCTCTGCTATTTTCTCACAATACGCCTCGCAACGTTTTCACACCTTCCTGCACTCTTTAACTCCCAAACACACACTCAACTGACATTTTCCTGTGTTTCTTTCCTGTGTTGTTCATGATGACATTTTGTGGTTTCATGAACCCAGAAACACCCATATTTCATTTTCACATGATCATTTATCTCTCATAATAAAATAGGCTGTGTGTGTCACTGTACCTCAAAACTGATACATGTAAATGAGCTCTGTTCTGGTTGGCTGCCCTGTGTTGTGCCTCATTCAAAAAGCAGCCTGGGTTGAAACACTCTTGATAACTTCAGCATGAATGGGAGGGGCTAAACTGTTGTAGGCTGAATAAATATGTAAATGCACTGGTTTTCATGACATCATAAAAACAATTCAAAACAGGCTGTTTACATATATGGACTGTATGGACTGGAGTGTGAATGGTACATTTTGAAACTGAGCACACGCAGCATATATAATCTCCACAGCTTTGAGCTGTGGAGCAGTGGAGCTGCGTTCTCTGGAGTGATAGAGCTCCATCCAGTACCTTTGGAGGAGTTGCAGTGATCCAGAACTAACCATCCAACATCAGTACCTGACCTCACTAATGCTTTTGTGGCTGAATACAATCAAATCCTCACAGCAATGTTCCAACATCTAGTGTAAAGCCTTCCCAGAAGAGTAGAGGCTGTTACTGCAGCAGAGGGGGACAAACTCCCTATTAGCCCTGTTTGCAGGCATAAATTCATAACTTCAGAACGGTTTAAGCTACAGACATGATACACATACCAGACCATTCAGCAGACCCGCCCCTAACTAGCTAGTGTGACATCATCGAGCTGTGACATCTGCATCTGTGAGTAATTCGGCTCGGAAAATCACCCAAAATCCGGGCATGATTGCTCTGCTTTTTGCCCTTCATATTCCAACAAAGGGTTAAAACAGCAACATGATTCACACATCAGATCACTCATCAGACTCTACCCTCACCATTCAGAGTGATTTCACCCACCTGTGACCATCCATCAGCCAGCAATCCAGCTCCAAAATCACACAAAACTCGCTCGCTACTGTTATATTACATCTCTGCTTTTAGCCTTCATATTATAAAGGGTTACAATGACATGATTCACACCAAAACACTCAGCACATCCTGCCCTGACTAGAGTGACAGAAACCAGCTCCAACATCCCACAACCCAGAAATACAGCATAAACACACAGCCAGATCACTGTAAAACTGGCTACAAGCTCTCTGCTTTAGCCTTCTCACGGCAACAAAAGGGTTAATAACCTTCAATTCAGAAGAAACGAACAGGACATATAGTGTATATCGCTAAACCTCGTATATCTATTTTTGACGTTTTTCAGTGTTTGACATAATATGAAAATATCTGTCGTTCTTTACATTCTGTGTAAATTTCATGAAGATTGGCCCAAAACAGCTCAAAATTACTTGGGAAATTCTGGTTCAATTGACTTACATTAAAAGTAAAGTAGGTTTTTTCCTTCTCCTGTAAAGTTATCATTTTGGAGATACGAGGTTTTCTTCCGACAACAGCTGACAACTTTCATGAGTGTGGGCGGAGCTTAATGGCTGTAGTCAGATGTATGCAAATTAATTTTGTGACCTCACAAAAACAACGAATTGAATATGGGCTGTCTTTGCAGCTCTGTTTCCATGCATGGACTGGGGAGCAAAATGTATGTTTTAAAACTCATTTAAAGAAAAAAAGAAAGAGAAAGAAAAAGCAAGGAAAGAAACGTTTTCCATGAAACGGGCCTGTTAACACTGAAAACCTGCATGTGCGCACACACTCGGTCACTTTTTCCAGCCTCTCATGACCTCACAAAGTAAACAGTGTGTGGCAGCACAAAGCTGCCGGGGTGCAGGGAATTCGGCATCGCCATGGCGATGTGGGACGGAGGCGGAGCATGGAGGGTCTCCATGGTGACGAAGGACTGGGAGAAGTTAAGGAACTGCACTGAACAAAGCGCTGAAAAAGCTGCACACAGAAGCAGCTCACTGCAACAGTTTAACCTGCCCAGCGATGACTTACAGCAGCAGAGGGAAAATAAATGCATCTGAATGCTGAGAAACACCAACCCAAGCATTGAAAATGCACCAAATCTGTAGTGTTTGTCCTGAAGTTAGTTAAAATCAGTAAAACCTGACAGCTTAACTGTCTTACTCTCACTTTCTTTAATGCAAGCACTGTAGCAATACTTTGATGAGTATTTTCAAATGATAATACTTTCATAATCCCTGTAAAAAGTACTGGCCAATAGAATGGGACAGAGCAGCTGCACATGAGCCTAAGGTCACCATGGTCAATGCCAAGCATGGGCTCCACAGCCCAATGCTGGAAGCCCCCCAGCACCGGGCTGTGGAGCAGTGAAGCTGTGTTCTCTGCAGTGATGGAACTCAATCCAATACCTTTGGGATGAGTTGGAGTGATCCAGAACTGACCATCCAACATCAGTACCTGACCTCGCTAATGCTTTTGTGGCTGAATGCAATCAAATCCTCACAGCAATGTTCCAACATCTAGTGTAAAGCATTCCCAGAAGAGTAGAGGCTCCTTCATTTCAGAAGAAACATTAGTGAGAAGGTGTCACTGCATATTTAGTGTATATTTTTAAGAGTGTATATTTTTGCTTACGTTATGTTGGGGATAGTATCTGTGACTGCTTCTCACTTCGGAGCTTTAAATTTAGACTACAAGGATCAAAATGATAAGAACAGAATCTAACAAACCTCAGGTCTTATATTGATACATGCTAAATGTATGAAGACGTTTCACTGCTGTTCTTTAAGATACTTAATACTCAGTAGTTCTTGAGTTGGTACTTTTGTACTTCTATTTAAGCTATTTTGTGGAAAGGCACTTTTGGACAGCACACAAGACAAAACAAGGCAAGTATATATATCACAGTTACAGTATATATTACAGTATATATCAATTTTAAAATATTAAATCAAACATTAATAATAAGACCCTTTTTTGTTTAGTTTATAAGATTTAATCCTGCATTCGTATTTTCTTTTTTCTCCCTGATGTCCACTTGTGGGCTTAGATGGCAAAGGCAGAAATAATTGTACATGATTTTCCATCCTCTCGTCACCCTTAGAATTAAACAGGCAGTTTTGTTACCATCCCTTTAAGACTGATATATGTAAATGAGCTCTGTTCTGATTGGCTGCCCTGTATTGTACCTCATTCAAAATGCAGCCTGAGCTGAAATACTCCTAACTTCAGTGTGAATGGGTGGAGCGGAGCTGAACTTCTCTAGACTGCATAGACACTTACATGTGAATGTGTTGGTATTTGTGACATCATAAAAAGTTTTTGCTGCTTAGTTCCCATATATGGACTGAAGAGTGAAACAGTAAGTTTAGACACTTTAACAATGATTAAATACTACATCAAACTTCAGTGATCCACAACACGGGCCTTTAAATCTACACTGTATGAGTAACAGTTACTTAAAAAATAACTGACATAAGTTATTTTTTAACTTATTTAACGTATTTAGTAACAAAAATATTACTTTTAATGACTTTAACACACTGAAACACACAATAATACAACTGGGAAAACATATCAGCCAACAGTGTCCTGTGACCACTGATGAAGGACTAGAGGATGACCAACACAAACTGCACAGCAGCAGATGAGCTATCGTCTCTGACTTTACATCTACAAGGTGGACCAACAAGGTAATAGAGTGGACAGTGAGTGGACACAGTTTAAAAACTCCAGCAGCACATCAGTGTTACTGCAGTGCTGAGAATGATCCACCACCCAAATAGTACCTGCTCTGTGAGGGTCCATGGGGGTCCTGACCACTGAAGAACAGGGTAAAAGGGGGCTAACAAAGTATGCAGAGAAACAGATGGACTACAGTCTGTAACTGTAGAACTACAAAGTGCACCTATATAGTAAGTGGAGCTGATAAAATGGACAATTGTATGTGTATATATATAATATGCGGCCTATAGATTTGTTCATGTAATGATCTGCATGCATCTGTCAAATAAACAAAAAATAAATAAAGCCAGACTGAAACAACCTGAAGAGCCAACCACAAAACAAACCACACCAGCAAACAGCACCTCGTACAGATGTCAAATCCACACAGACAAAACTGCTAAGGCTCAGTCTGAACTCACCCGCGAAGAGGAGGAACAGAGAAAACTGCATTGGGAAGCAGGCCGGCATCCTGGAAACACGCTTCTGTCTGCATGTGTGGGTGAGCATGAATGTGACTGTGTCCGTGTAAATGTGTGCGTCCCCACTTCATACTGGAGCTTATTCAGAATCAGCTCCTTTCTCACTTGTTCCCACCTAGATACACACACCACACCGGCCAATCCGGTCTCAAGGGCGAGAGACAGGAGCCAATGACGGGTCACCTCAGCGCAGAGGCCTAACAGACAAAGAGCGCTTTGTGGCCTCACCATAGAGCCCGAGAGGATACAAAACACATATGAAGAAAGAAAGAACAAGAGTGAAGGTGGAAGAGAGATGCAGACAGCACTGTAAAAACAGCTTGGCAAGAAGTGAACGAGTGTTAACAGTATATATCACTTCTCCCTTTAGGACCTTCTAAGATGCTTAACTTAGAAAAGCACATCATCTTGACAGAATAAAACGAAAATTTATAACATAATAATCAAATGTGATGATTAAGGAGAGCATCATTAATAAAAGGTATATACACAGGACACTGGAAAGCATACATAAGACAGTAAAGCCGCTCAGACTTTGTCTGTTTGTTGGAAAATACCAGAACTTTTCTAAGCAGTTCAAGTGAACCCTTTCAACCTTAAGCCTCAAGGAGGCCAGTGTATAAACAGGTGTTTGGTAAGCACCAAGGGAGGTGCTGTGTACCAGAGACAGGGCAGCTCGGCCTTTTTAATGGGTCCAAAAAGTGAATTTAACCTCTTCAACTCCTTGAGACCACCGGTGGTTCCAAAACGCACTTCGTCATATTTTTCATAATTTTCATATTTCATAAGCTACATTCAAAAGGTGGGGGTCGTATGAGAGCTGTAAGTGTCTTCTTTCCAGTCAAATAGATGGGTGATGGAAATTTAAACCCTTATAATAAAAGAAGCTGAACTCACAATTTTTTTTTGTCTCCTGAAAGTCGACCCATTTTTCCACAAATCTGGGCCGTAAACTATAAACAGATGGCGTCTCTTCAGTGATCTGCTCTGTAAACATTATTTTTATAAAAAAATACAAAAGAGCGTCTAAGATTTTTGGTTTTCAGCAGTAAATCATAAGCATATAGCAATATGTGTGATCATAAAACACAAGTTCTGTTAATGTAAGGGGAACTTTTACAAAAAAAAATATATATAAATAAAATAAAAAATGTACATTTATTTCATGCAGTTACTGAAGAATTTGCCTTACGATTTGTAAATTCAGATGGACAAACCAAAATATACCCACGAGCATAACAGATGGGCAAAACAGGTTATGGCACATTAAAAGAAAGAGAGAGGAAAACCTCATCTCTGAAAAGTGTACAGAAACATGGAACTCTGTACATCGTATTCACATTTGGGTCCAGAGCCTAAAGCCCAGGCTGAATGCTCTTAGCCTGTAATAAAAACGGAAGCCTTTTTTCTCCAACTGAACCCAGCGACTGAAGTCTTCTTTGAAAACTTGAGACAGAATACTTGATAGATGTAAGTGATACGTAAGACTTACAGATAAAGTAATTTGTTCAACAATAGTCTGACGTGGGTGACTGCTGAAACTTTACGCTGCAACAACCTTAAACTTTTTAATTAATCAAACATCAAACATTAAGTGAACAAAACAAACAGTAAATTTACATTTTGTTGGCTTATTATTTGAAGTTTAGGGTTTTTTTAAGATGAGTTAAGTCAAAGTTTATTTATCTAACACTTTGTACAACAGGCACTGTAAGAAAGCAAACTTTACAGAAAATCGGGGTCCAAGCCTGGATTTTAAGATGACCTACAGTCCTGCGCAAAAGCCAGAGACCACCCTCCACTGATTACATTCCCAGTTAAAATATGCACTAAGGATGTTAAGTATGTTGTTTATTTATCTGGGGATATTTCTCCTAAAAATATTAGACTGTAAGACTGAAATTCAAAGATGTGGAAAAATAACCCTGCAGATGGAAGCTAAAATAACACATGAAGGTAAAGATTGGATACATTAAATACTGAAATAGACATATTTAGTTGTTGAGGTTTTTATATAATTTTCTGTTAAATATATTTTCCACTTTTTTCTTAATGTAGAAAAAATAATAAGTTGTACTTAATGGCTGAAATGATCTTCTACAGCCCACGTGTCAAACACAAGGCCCCAATTTTATCCACAAAAGTATTGTAATTTTCTATTAATATTAGCTCGTTTTACACTGCGCTGCACTACAGTGCCCAGCATGCACTGCAACGTAACGTGCACACTGACTCTCCCCCAACAACATTCTATGGGACAGAGGTTATACCTCAATTCATCACAGTTCTACACAATTTCACACCAGTCATATCACCAAACACACTAGCTGCATTTCAGCTGCATTTCAGCCAATATAAACATTTAATGTCAGCTCAGCAGCTCAAAATTGAGCCCATGTATTAATGAACTTGCAGCAAAGAAGGGATGCCAGGTGTCCAGTTTAAGTAAATAGGTAGGTTTAAAAGACTGAGCACCCGGGAGCATTTAAATTTTGAATATTTCAAGTATTCATTTAATATTTCAAGGTCAACAACAAGTGCCTATATTTTACTACTGAAGTTTTTTGAATAAACATTGGTCAGTTCAGTTTATAGCAAAATTAAAATTCAAATAAAACATAGTCGCTCTCTGGCCCCTGGAATTGTTGATATTTTTTTATGGCCCTTTTAGTGGTTGAGTTCGACACCCCTGTTCTACAGTGTAGACATACTCAATAACACTGCAGTTCAAAAGTTTGGAATTGCTGTATAATATAAAAAAACGGTTGAAGATACATGTATACGATTATTGTATTATGATGCTACTACTTTACAACTTTTCATCTGGAGGAAGATTAAATGTTACAATAAAATTAATATCCAGAATTTGACAAGTGATCACATTTTGAGGTGGACAACCTTTCAAGAAATTATTATAAGTAGATAATTACAGTATGTTATTTATCAGTAAATAACTTTGTTTAATAATGTGAAAATGTTGCAATATAATGTTGTATATAAAATCTAATCATGTCACATGTTTCTAGAAATAATATTATGGTAATAAAATTCTGTCAGTGCAATAAGTTCATTCCACACAAGTAAAAATGTCTAGAAATAGTTTGACTAAGTTTATAATATTCTAACAACAATCTCATGATGAGAAATATTAGATATAGTCACAGTCCAATGAAAAACATGTACCTCCATTTTTTGTGATTTTCACTTTTCTGCATCACTTTTTGAGCTCAGCAGCTGTTCTTTACATTGTGTGAAACTTTAATGATGATTGGACCAACTGAACTGCTCCAAAACTGCCTGGAATAAAATCTCTTTCCATTAACTTACATTGAAAGGTCAGATTGTTTTTGCCTTCTCCTGTGAAGCTACTGTTCTGGAGATACTTGTTTTTCTTTGGACAGCGACGTTATATTGCCTACAATTAAGACGCTTCCTCTTGCCAGCTGAAGTAGAGACAGAGGTCAGCAGTGTGTCGTCAGTGTAAGTGGACACTGTTGCTTGTGTTTTGTACACCAGCGTATTTGAGAGTTGAGGTTTGGCCCAGCACAACAGTAGAGCACTGTTATAGCACCATTTAAAAGTGATCACTGCGAAATGAGCTCTGCCACAGGATGGCCATTACTTGAGTTTGTGATGACCCAAAACTCCTAACAGGGGCTTAAATAGCTGGAGGTTGCTAGCCTAGCATTTAACCTATAACAGCAATATCAGGTGGTGAGTGAGGGATGTTTAAAGGAAAGGTTCAGAATTTTAACTACACAATGTTCCCCTTATCCCAAACAGAGTCGACTTGCCAAAACACATTTGGTGTCTTTAGATTTCCAGTGGAGCTACAAGGTTAATGTTGCAATAAAAGTCTGACACCTAAAATCTTTGTGAGTGACACACAGTCATGCACAAAGTTCAAACAGGCTGGTCAAATTACATTTTTTGCTGATTTTCTACATTAATGTGTCCTCGACAGAGAACACACTGCAATTATAGTGCACAATTTCTATTTATTTGCTATATATTCAATTTATCATTGAGTTTAAAATATTGGAAAAAAATATATATACACATATAAAATGTGCTATAATTTTGCACAGGCCATTTTATGTGTTATTATTTTTTCCAACATGTTAAATTCAGCACATAAACAGTAACAGTGCATTAGCTATTAAAAAGTGTGTTCTCTGTAGAAAAATCAACAAAACTACATTTAACCAGGTGTGTTCAGACTTATGCATGCAACTGTAGGGTTCTATTACATTTGCTTCGCAGCCCAAACAAAAGAGCAATTCGTTCAATATCAACAGTTCTACTTAATCTATTAGGGTCCCAGGCTTTTACATCATATGATTTCTTCAGTAATTACACAGAAAAACAAACGTCATCTGATTGAGTTATTCTTACATTACAGAAGTGGGAAAGGGTAGCCTGGACATGCCAGTGGGTCCTGGGAGTTTATTAAGGACACAGATTTACTGACACTTGACTTTGGCAAAAGTTAGCTGAAGCTAGGGCTGGGCGATAAAACGATAACGATAATTATCGCGATATAACTTTTCCTCGATAGAGCGATATGACATGTTCGATAAATGTTCGATATCATACAGCACTCTCACACTCCCACGTTCAGCGAAAGCCTTGGTGGCGTTTTCTACTGCAAGGAAAGCGACACTACTCTGCTGTCGCCAGTAGAGGGCGCACTTCCGATTTTTTCTTCATGATTAGAGAGGGAGGGGGCCACGAGTAAGATGAGTCTTTAGCAACGGCTGAAACGCGGAGTTATACATTTCCTGTTTGAGTGGAGCGACCGGCGATCTGCTCTCCTGTGACCGAGTGTGAGTGACGAGGTCAGTGGTGTAACTATACTGTCCTACAGTGAACTCACCTCTTTCTGTACATCCTAACAACTTTAGCAGTGATAAATCACAAATCACAGTCCTCACAACTACAGCGCTGTTACAGCGCTCAGTCATATTTAGTATTAGTACATTCCCAAGCAACGAAAGTGAAAGAAGAAGTGGGTTCATGTAAATTACAGCCCTGATTTAAACGAAAGTAAACTGAGGAAGCTGTGAGGCATTGGAGAGCGGGAGAGCGCTAACCTATCTTTCCAGGCTAGCTATTTTTAGCAGCTGGCTAACTTGAAGCAGCTCCGTCACTGCACAACACGGAGAACTGATGATACTGTGGATCAAACATGACACAAAAGCACCGGTTTCAGTTTAAACGTACCTAAAAGTCGGACTCTGTTTGTCTGGTGTTGATATTTTGCAGTTCACCACTTAAACTACTACGATA